CTCTCTCTCTCTCTCTCTCTCTCTCTCTCTCTCTCTCTCTCTCTCTCTCTCTCTCTCTCTCTCTCTCTCTCGCTCCCCCCTCTCTCTTCGATCTCGCTCTCTTCTTTCTTTCCTCAGCTCTTCCTCGTAGCAGTTTTCAGTTTTCTGTAGTCATAAAATTCTTTCCCAGATTAAAACCCTCTGAACTGTCATTCTCTGTCTTTTCTCTCTTGGAAATTCCCTTCACTTAAGATTAAGAATGTAAATTTGCTTTCATAGTTTCATTTCCTCTTTGAATTTCCGTTTAGGATGTGACATTACGTAATCCCTGGTATAATACTATGTTCGTGTGTTTATGTTGAAGAGGGTCTAAAAACGTTTCGTGAGCATTGTTTTCATTAAAACTTAATAAATGCATAAATTAAGGCTTTATTTTTAATTAATGTAATTCCAATATAATAATAGAACGGCGTACATTATGTAGGGTAGCTGCGAATAACCAATGCAGTCGCTGACCAACTGTTGACAGTCTTGGAGAGCGAGGTGGGACAGGGTGGTGGAAATCCTGTGTCTATAAAATGCCTCATAATGTGCTCAGCAAAGGGACTGTCAGGCGAGAGGGAGGCGCCGAAACCTGCCACCTGCCCCCACTGCCTTGTGGGTTAGTCCTTTAGGACACAGGCTAGCAAAAATTCCAGCAGAAGGCAAGGGAAAACCACTGCTGTATTTTTCCCAAGACATGGATCAACACACAATGAATGAAGATAACGACGCAAAGAGGAGCTCTGTAAGAGCTGCCTCGTCCGGTAGGGCCAGTCCGAATACATACAAATTAAAAGAGGAGTCAGACTGGGATGTGTCCTTTCACCACACTTGTTCTCCCTGTATAGTGAAAATATTATCATGAGACGCATAGAAGACGTGCCAGGGTATCTCGATAGGAGGACAAAATGTAAACAATCGAAAATATGCAGGCGACAGAGTCCTAATAGCAGGAGATGAAGAACACTTATGGAATCTATTAAATGTCATCGTGCAAGAGAGTGACAACATGGGCCTAAGCCTAAACACCAAATAAACTGAAACGATGGTGGCAAGCAGAAAAACTCCAACCCCAACCTTCAATATCAAAATCAATGATAGCACCTCCAAGCAAGTACAACATTTTAAATATTTGGGGACCATTATATCGTCAGATGGGAGATGTCACACCAAACTTAAAAGCTGTATTTGCCAAGCAAAAGCAACCTTCTACCAAAATGAAACAGATACTCACGAACACAAATCTGTCGATGGAAACAAGAACAAGAGTACTGAAAAGTTACATCGAGCCAATCCTTTTATTCGGGTGCGAAGCATGGACAATCAATAGACAGCTGGAAAGAACAACTGAGGCGACAGAGTTGTGGTTCATAAGACGCATGCTGCGTATTCCATGGAAAGCTAGAAAAACAAATGAAGAAGTCTTGGTTGAAGCAAATTGCAGACGACAGCTTATGACGAATATACGAAAGCGACAGGTAAATTTCATTGGACACACAATGCGGAGAATATTGTAAAAACAGGCAAGTTTGATGGAAAGAGAGGCAGAGGCATACAGAGGGGAAAGATACTGGACAAGTTGCAACATGGCTATGAGCAGCAAGAACAACATAACAGACACCATCGCTGCAACACAAGACAGATGGAAGTCGAGGTCCATGATCGCCCACGCCAGTCGGCGAGGCACCGGTCTATATATATTATACATACATATATATGGGGGAGAGAGAGAGAGAGAGAGAGAT